AAATATATAGAAAAAGAAAAATAATAAACCTAATTTCTTATGTAAATACGCATAAAATATATTTTTTCCTATATTTATATTACTCATTTTATTAATTACAATTTTTAAAAATAAATAAAAGAAAAAAATTTTACAAGATCCTTCGAGCCGGATTTGAACCAGCGACCTATGGATGTCTACACTTTCAGTATTTTCACTCTACAGTCCACCGCTCTACCAACTGAGCTATCGAAGGTCGATGAGCAACGTGCGCCAAAACGCATAAATGAGCAAACGACGCGAATGGTGTTTATCAGCGAGCGAGCGAGTGAGCAAGCGAGCGAACGTTGAATAAATCAAAACGTTTGCCAGTCAGTGTATGCTTGTATGTGTGCGTGCGCTCTTGAGCGAAAGCTGTGCCAAGCGTGTGAGTGTGCGAGCGAGAGATAAGAGCTTTGCTGCGCAAGCAATGAACGTAGCGATGTTATTGTTGTTGCTGCTGCTGCTGCTGCTGCTGTTGTTGTTTTCGAATTGGATTTTCGTCTGTTATTTCGGTGGATCAAACAACGGCGCTTAGACGTGTAAACAAAGAGGGGCGCTGCATTGCTATCACGGCAACAATTAACGGGGCCACCTAGAAAAACGCTGTCCATGACTCATCCGCCTCTGCGGCAGGCTGAGCCCGGGACTTCGCCTGTGGCCAAGCCAAAAAGTGAATCATGCAGCAAACACGCGCCCAAAGCAACAAGAAACTAAATCTTTAGAGCTGTGCCTTATCAGCAAGCAAGAGGCAGGTGGGCACGCACTTGGCTTCTTGGCCTGGCCTAGAACAAACTACCGCAGCGACAGCGGCAACAGCGGCAACGGCAACAGCAACGGCAGCGGCGGCGCCTCGCAAAGTGTTTGCTGATAAGCGAGACGGCTCACACACGAGGCCCAGGCCCAGCAGAGGATAGCAGAACGGAGCGGGATACTTAACAAACCAATTAGGATGCCAAAAACACAAAAAGAGAAGGCAGCAAGTCATAAAACAAAGAACAAGTAGGCGTGAGCTGTGTGTGAATGTGACTGACCGCCAGATACCCTGTATGAGAGTGCACAAAGACAGGGAACTACAATATGAATATATGTTTTTGGTCAATATAGCTATCATACTCTATATAACGTTACTAAGTGGAGTAAACTTTTATATTATTATGTATAATATATCTATATTAATACATACTGTTGGTCTATAATATTCGTCAGATTAATGGTAATTGAAAATCACTTAATATATTGATATTTGATAGAGACCAGAATATACCCTCTATATAGATGTTAATATTTATTTTGTAGCTCGAGATAAAGACACCCTGTATATGAGTGACTACACTCGGATATATAATTTACAGCAAATCGGATCTTCCTACCATAAGTAAATACAGGGTATCAAGTAACTAAGCATGCATTTGTGGAAATATCAGTTAATCTATATATGTATACAATATATATTGTATATAGAAGTATGGCTAGCAGAGCGAAAAAACTGACAGCTTACGGTTAATTACTGACAAAAACACGCACACACACACACACACATAAATATATAAGGAAGAGGTACAGCTAAGCGCCTTGCGGCAATTTGTGTGATCCATTGAGCAAGGTATGAGAGCTAAAAATGAAGGAAATTCTATATACATATGTATGTATATATGTACGTATATACATACATATACATATATGTATATATATATATATATACAACATATTGGATCGATTGCCCAAACTGTCTTGTTAGATAAGAAAATGATTGGCCCTTTCAGGCCGAGGGCGAGCGTGCCCGGCGGGGGGCGCGTCCAGCGCATCGCCGGAGGAGAGCATAATTTCGGTCAGGTAACTAGTTATGTTCATAATTTTTTTAAGAATGACTCAAATAGTTTTGCCCTCGGCTTATCACGATGGAACGATCTAAAGAGTTTCTCTAGTTTTCCTTTCGGTTTAGCTCTCTTGATGTTGGTATCAATTTCCTGCGATGATTGAATGAATCTTTAGTTTTTCTTCTTCGTCGTTTTTGGTATGTGGGCGTCTTATCGCTTGGTCAAAATCTACAAAGAAAAAATTGCCAAGTTCCGGGAAATTTTCAAACACCTTTTCCTTCTGCTCTCTCAATTTTTGACAACATTTTGTACTTAGTTTTATTTTATTTAGCAACTAATCTGAAATTCCGACTGCTGCGCCCCTTGCTCTGTTTGCAGCATCTTTTTAGCCGCTCGGATGAGTCATTTAATTGAGCCGAAAATTGACTTTGTAGTGCACTACGGAACCGGGATAAATTAATTTACCGAACCTTGATAAAAACGAAGAAGCAGCAGAAGAAGAAGAAGAAGAGCAGACGCAGTAAATAAATAAAATCCAATCATGACTCACACGGATTCGAAACTTGTCTTGGCTCGTCTCTAGTCAGAATCTTGATGCTCGTTTATAAAAAGAGAAAAGTATATTAGCTTCGTGCGTGGTTCATCTTGATACATGTCTATATGTCCGTCTGTCCGTCCTTCCGACTATCCAACCCTTCAGCTGTACCTTCGTCCGACTGGCAAGTTAAGTAGAGATGAGTAAATACCCCTAAAGGGCGTGGTTTTAGAGGTAGAACAGAATAATTATAACTTTACTTTATATTGGTATTCTACTGGGTCGTAGGAAATCGAGACTGACTTAAAATCGTTAAATTGCTGGAGGAATTCGTCTAGCCCCTACTTTCCACAGCAAGACCAATGAGCTATACATATCCTTGAGGTATATCGAAACGGGAATGCACTTACAATAGCTTCATTGATACCGTGAACAAGTAATATACAGCTGTTAACACCCGACATAGACATTTGTACTTGTTGTTCTGAGATATTCTATAAATAGCCTCAAGTCGTTTTCCTTTCTATACATACATATATGTGACAAAAACCTCAATTTACTTGTCTGGCACAATCCTCCTTATCAGCTTGCCATATATGTCTGTGCATATAAATAATCGAGTACAAACATATAATAATAATCGCGTTCTTCTCTATAACAAATGTTGCATCATATTTAGATCGCCAGCTGATTGATTCGCGCCATTTGCCTTGATGCCTCTTTGTGTATTGGTGACTGCGTTTGTATTGGTGCGTTTTTCAATTGAGAGCTTTCATTGTTTACGAGGCGAGCTTTGAGCTTAACCAACTGCACTTTGCATGTGAACCATGCGTGTGATCTATAATTAGCTTATGGATACTAAATATAGAATTCCAAGTTCAGAAATTGAAAATGAGAAAGTAAACATGTAAATTTAATATATAATAATATTTAATATTATTTAAAAACAATTTTATTTATGTTGTTATTATTTGTTTTTATATATCAAAAATAATTAAATTGTAATTAATATACTAATATACATTTAATATTAAACGGAATGTATTAAAGAAAAAAGGAAAAATTAATTTTTGTTACAAAATTTAGTTTGGTCCAAAATATTACTTTATGATATATATTAAAACTATATTAAATGAAAAACTATTTAAATGAACTTCAAACATTTATTGTATCCTGGATACTTTCCTTTTTTCCTATATACAAATATTTCTAGAAATTTTGTGTTATTTAATTTTTTAACAAATTAGAAAACTTTTCAAATATTGTATTAAGAAAATCAAAATAAATATATATATATATATACATATATATAATACTTAAACAAATATTTATGTTATCAAATAAATATATTACTAATATTTATTCTTGATTGTACCATACTAAAATAGACATTAGTAAATTGCTATCTATTATGCTCGACTCTTTAGTTTTCCGCAGGGAAGCGAACATGCTTCTTGGCAACTGTTCGCGATTAAGCGCCACGCGTTGCGTTTTTCATCCGAATCCGAATATCAGTGCGAACATTGGGTGATTTTTGTACATTCACAATAGTTTGTTTTTATTGCGTTTATCTGGAATGCCTGCGAGCACTTAAGTTCGCGTGCACTCGCTATCATCTTATCGACAGCACACGTAATGCCCGCTGCTCCGTTAAGCGGATAAGCGGGCAGCGGGCAGCGGGCAGCGCTTAGCTTTTATGCTGCGATAAGCATTTGCATTCACTTTTGTTTAATGTGATCGAAATTGTTGTTGTCTTGCTCTGATTCGTCTTCAAAATTGTCTTCGAAAGCTATTTTTAAACCGAATTGGGGCGGCACCATATATAGACCTTCGATAGCTCAGTTGGTAGAGCGGTGGACTGTAGACAGTGAAACACAAGTGTTGTGTAGATATCCATAGGTCGCTGGTTCAAATCCGGCTCGAAGGATCATGGTAATATTTTTTTTTTAATAAAAAGAGAAAATGGAATTAAAGTATGATAAGATTATAATTAATTAAATTGTAGATTAATGAGAAAAACAGATGTAACTAAATACACATAGCTAACAGATATATAGAATTATTACAGGTGATTTTGAAATCATTTTTTTACAGCTTACCTTAAGATATATAAATATATATTCTATTTTCTATTCATGTTTAATATAAATAATTTAATTATATGTGTATTCAAATTTTACTATTAAATTTAATTGAAAAAGTAAAGTAATATTTATAAATCATTTTCAAGTTTTCTGTGGATATATACGAAATTTTCGAAATACGCAACCAAATTTAAGATAAAATAGAATAAATAAAAATTTAAAAATAAAAAAATAAAAAAATTGAAATCCTTCGAGCCGGATTTGAACCAGCGACCTATGGATATCTACTCGTATTTGACCGTCTACAGTCCACCGCTCTACCAACTGAGCTATCGAAGGTACATAGCGAGGGGGGATTTTCGGCTATTGTTAAGCTACTCACCTCGACGCGCTACGAAAATTTTTCGACAACGCTGAACAGCAATTCGAAAAAAATCTATTTATAGTAAATAAAAAGGCAGAGCGTTTAAATTGTTTTTATATGTTTTTTTAATACGATTTTTTCATTTATATTTTTTCAACTTTCTTCATCATGATCACCATCTTCATCATCATCATCAGCATTGTTTTTAAATAAATAAAATAATAAAAATTTATAAGAAAATTACAAAATAAAATGGCGCGCTCCTCTATGCCAGGCGCAGTTACGTTTCGACATTTGCTTTTCGAGTACTTTCTTTTCTTCTGTTTTTGTTTCTTTTTTTTTTTTTTTTTACTTTTTACTAATTTTTTCCAACATGCTGCTTAAATGTAATAAATTAAATGCTAGATTAATTTATGTATATTTAACATACGATTATTATATTCGAGTTTAGCTTAAAACGCATAACAATAAACGATAGTTTTGTTGTTGTTTTTTTTTCTTCTTTCAATTTTTGTTTTTGTTTATATTTAATTTAGTTTTTAGTTGTAGTTTAACTTTAGTTTTAACCTTTCATTTAGTTAATAAGTTTTAGCTTTGATTTATGATACATTTTACTCTTAGTTTTGGGGAACGAACTTGAATACCTCTGCAAGGTAAATCTATATAACTATATATATAAATATATATATATATTTATAATAATTTCAAGTTTTCTACTCTTTGCAGGACATTCTCGTTAGCCTGATTCGATTTTTACATAGCTTAGCATTAGCTTTTCTATACAATTTGTTCAATTCAGCGAGATACAAAAGTATCTCAGAGTGCGGTCTATGGCATTTTGTTTGTTGACTGCTGGGGGGTTGGGGCGTGATGGCGTGGGGCGTGGGGGCGTGGGGGCATGGTGGGGGCGGCTATTTACAGTTGCTGCTTGCGTCTCGGCGTTTGGCTCTGTGCAACATTTCCAAAGCCTGGCTGTGGAAAGTGACAGAGACGGCGGCGGCGGACCCTTGAGAGCCTGGAGTCCTGGTAGGCCAGGAGGCTGGGGCTGGTCGGTCGCTTGTGGTGGCTGCATTTCGCTCTACATACAATTAAAGTCTACGATTTACACTTAAAATTCAAATATTCAGTCCATTTTGTTTGCGTTGTGTTTAAAGCATTGACGGCTTGGAACCAAACAGCATTTGATGCTCTCTCTCTCTCTCTCACTTGCTCACTCACTTTCTCTCTCTCTCTCTCTCTCTCTCACTCGCTGCTTCTGCTTTCAGTTTGTGCTGCTCTGCGGCTTATCGACAGCCACAGCCCACAACTGTCATATCCTGATAGTTCTTGAGCACAACTGTCCTTTGGTCATTGAGATAGAGCATCGAGATGCCCTCCAGCTGCGTGGGCACGCAGCACGCCTTTGGTACCTTCCCTGGATTGATATTATTGACTAAGGTCTGGACGACCGCGTGGTTTGTGGAGTTCAGGTGGTCGGCCAGCGGAAACGGACACTTGCCATGGCAGTAGTACGCATCGTAGCCGGGCGGCGCGACTATCCAGTCGCTCCAGCCCACGTCCTGGAAGTCCACGTAGAGCGAATGCCGTCTGCAGGTCTCCTCGTGGTTCTTGCGGCGCGAGCGCCGCTGGTGGCGCCGGTTGCGGCCGCCGCCGTTGCCGCCGCCGCCCTCCCGCGCGCCCACGTCCCGGATCGAGCGCGACTTGTGCCGCCCGTCGTCCGTGTAGGTGAAGAGCAGCGGCTGCTTGTGCTGCCACTCCTCGTGCGCCTCGTCCGCACTGCGGCGTAGGCGCACGTGGTGGTGCGGCGCCGGCTTCAGGGAGCGCATCGTGCGCACCTCCACCAGCAGCCCGAAGTTCTTCTGAGGTGTTGCCAGCCACCGATCAACGGCCGGTTGGACATCGAGACTCACCGTCTCTGTGCTGTTCAGGCGCACGGTCTTCGTGTCCAACAGCAAGTAGCTCGGCTCCCGGTGGCCCCGCACGCCCACCCGCGTTATGTCGTAGACGAGCACCTGGTAGCGCGTCCGGTTCACCGCCTGGCTAACGCTCAGCGCTGATCGCTGCAGCTGCAGCTCGGCGGCCTTCAGCTTCTCCTCGGCGGGAATGCTCTTCACATCGAAGTGCAGCCGAAACCGATGATGATGTGGAAATCTATCGTCGATTTTACTATCTGCAAATAGGGAAGAACGAGATGATGGAACATTAGCAAATTGCAGTTAATAGATATAGGTATAAATTAAGACATATAAATAATATAATATACAAGATAAAATGTCATGAAAATTTATTAGAATTGAAGTAAGAATAGAATGGAAGTTCGATATAGTAAAGAAAAGAACAGAAAAAGCTAGAAGAGCTTAGAAACTCAATTTTAAAGAAGAAAAGGGTAGATCTACATTTCATAGAACACTATGTAAGATAACAAATCACTTGGAAATATTTGGAATAGAATATTATTATATATATAGTATTATAATATATTTGCATATATCTAATACAGGAATTATTTATGTAGCTAAGAGGAAGAGTTTTAGAAAAGTACGTGAAGCATACTTCAGTAATAAATCAGAAAAATCTTTAGATATATAGAAAAGTACAAGAATGAAACGAAAATCGAAAAGAAGGAATAAAACAAGATATGAAAACAAATTAAATTGGAATATATGAAAAGTATTTTTGTTTAGAAGAAAGAAGAAGAGGAACTATTAAAAATTGAGAGATATATGAATATATTATGACGATATTTATACTTGATAGATATGCGATACATATATGAAAATATGTGTGATGTATATGATAATATAATCTGAGTTTAGAATTTGCCCTACTCAGAGAAATCATAAAAACCAGTTTTAGAAACAGGAAAATATTTCTATATGTCTTTAATCTTGTATTGCGGAATAAGTATAACAGAAAGCAGTTGAAAGAAGCTCTTGATGAATATATGAATATTATAAAAATAAAAGTATATTAAATATGCAGTTATAAATATAAATACACCAAAAGTATATACCATATATACTGCAATAAATACTAAGCAAATGTGGGCTACAAAAAATGGCACATTCCCATGGCACGGCAGGGCGATTTAGCTTAGGATCTGCTCTCCCTCCCTCTCGGGCTCACACTCTCTGTCGATCTCTCCCTCTCTCGCTCCCTCCCGTGCGCGTTGGCTCGTCGTCTGTCGCCTACCTTTGTCGCAGCCGACTTTTACGACTGGCGCCTGCTGCAAAAGACCTGACCCACCCACCGAGTGCGCGCCGCAGCGGCTCTTGCGCACCGCCAAGGTGCAAGGTGCAAGGTGCAAGGCGCAAATCTTAATTTGAATCGTGATGCGACGTAGGTGGAAGAAGCCGGGGAACAAAACTATCTCAAGTACCACGAAACAAAAGGAGGCGAACGAAAAGGAGTCGTAAACGCTGTGAGCCGCAGGACGAGCGACGAGCGGCGAGCGGCGAGCGTTGAGCAAGGACCAAAACTCGAGACTCGAGCACGGCTTAGACACTTGGCTTTAAACACTTGGCAGTGCTACCTGATCTATTATATATATATAGATGTGTGTGTGTGTGTGCCTCTCTTACACACACACACACACTCTCTCTCTCTCTCTCCCTCTCTGTGCTATCTGGCCTAACTGCTTTATTGTTCATCCCCTCTAATCCTGTGGAAAATAATGCGAAATACGCTTTAATAATAATTGTTATTTTTACAAACACAATATAAAAGCCATTTGGCGCATGCGCTAAACGTTCCGGGTGTAATTCTCTAGAAAAATTTCAAGGTCACATTTGGGTTAAGAGTTTGCGGCCAACAGCGCAGGTAATCCAGGACACTGCGCGTGCGAAAGGGAGGGTGCGAGAGCGAGAGCGAGAGAGATAGAGAGCGCGCTAGCGTTACCTGTGCGCCGTTCTGTTGTCCTTTCATTTGAAGCTGCGGAATTTCCGCGTGATTTCTCAACGCTTGCGTGAATGATGAAACGTATGCGCAGATACCTGTAAAGGTGGCTCTGTCGGCTCGGGGCAGGTATGCAAATCGCTTAGATGAACTACAATTTCGAGGGAAAATCCTGGCCGTCGCTTCATTCGCGTTTCACTAGCGGAAAGTACGCGTTGCTCAAATTCAGATTTTAACTGCGGCCGCCAGTGCGAGCCAACTGCCACTGCCACACGGCGGGCAGGTGCAAATAGGTGGCACTAGGGCCATAGTGCACGCAATATCCTAATTATATTTAGCTGCAGAACTTTTTACTTTCTTTACAATATTGAAAAGATACGTATGCTAATGTCTAGGTCATAAGAAGTTCTTTGGGATTTATCCTATACTATATAATATATAATTCTTACGGAAATATATAATTCATACGGAAATCTTGAATTCTTACTACAAGTTAGACTTTTAAGTTACTCTATTTGTCTATATATATTATAATCAAGTTTTAAGAAAGTTTTACTTCTAGAAACATAAAGTTTGTAGTTCATCCTCCTCTTCCACCTCCTGAGTAATTTTTCACTACCCAAATATCTGTTAAGACTAGAAGACTTTAATTTAGTCTGTTATCAGTTCTCAAAATAGCATAAATAAATTTATTTTACATTTCATAATTTTAAAAAGATTTCATCTTCAAGTTTTGATAAAATTTAATAATTAATAAACCTAGCATTTAATGTTGCTGGAAAACATAAGCTATCTCAATATTTGTTATATAGACTTTATATTTTATTTATATTGTTTTCAGAAAAATATATATAAATTAAGAAAGTATTAACATTATTTTCAAAATAATATTGAATATTAATAAATTTTATTTATTTTATATATATATAAAAAAAAACAATAAATAATATTTGTTATAATCAATTAATATTGTTTAATAAACATTTAAATAAAATTAAATGTTATTCAAACATAAATTTATAGTAAAAAATATTAATTGATTAATTGAATATTTAAAAATATTCCATTAGAAATCGTTTAATGAAATAAAATAAAAGGAATTTAATTTATTTACTAATTCATATACTTTTTATATTCTACTGTATATATTTATTATTAATGTTTTATCCAGAATTTTGCATCTTAAGGAATCTTTATTTTTTAGATTTTTTTTTTTTAATCCAATGAAAGTTTGTTTAATGTATAATATAATATAATATAATATATTTTGTTAAAAGGTATTTAGGCAAAAAGTTAAAAAATTCGAGTTTAAAATTCATACTATTCCATCAAAATGGTTTATGCGGGAACATTACGATGAAACTGGAAATTAACTAACATTTTTGTGAATATATCAAATACGAGATGCCTCAACTAGCTCTAGATGCAGTTCTAACTATCAGGTGAACTATTGCATATAGAATATGCAGATTAGCTAAGCCTAGCCAAAGCTCTTTCTACACTGCCTCTCTCTCTCTCTCTCCCACTCAAGTTATATATGGTAATTGGTGTATATATTATATAGAGCATTCATATGGATAATCTATAGCTGAATCAAGTTTCATGCACTCACCTTTATGTGTAAAACTTCGGACAGTGTTCGCTGATTTGGTCAGGAGTCCCGGCTTGGGTATATTCACGGAATCGATTTCGTGTCCCATGATCTGGGCGTAGAGATTCTTCATGGCCTCCGGTATGATGATTTTGGATCTGTCGATCTTCGGCGGCCGCTTCATGTTGAACAGCGAGAGCAGGCTGTTCTCGATTTCGACTAGAGTGGATGGATCCGGCTTCACCTTGTCCTTGATGATCTCCTTGCTGCTGTAGGTGGCTGGCTCGTCCTCGGCGATGATTGCGTCCGCGATGCCCGGCACTTCGAACTCCCCCAGTACGCTGTCCGTGCTCTCGAATGGGGCGGCGTCAACTGATGCGGGGGCGGGGCCAAACACTTGTATGTGCGGCGCTGCTGTTGTTGTTGTTGTAGTAGTTGTTGTTGTTGTTTTTGTGTGTGTTTGTTGTTGTTTTGGCTGGTTTTTGGCCATTTTGTTAGTTGATTTAGTATGCTTATGCTGTTTATGCTTATTTTTGGAATTTTTGGAATATTCTAATTGGTCTGTTCTTGATTTATGCACTTCGTTATATTGTTTTAATGCAACGGCACTTGTTTGCTGTTGCTGTTTCATATTTATATCACTATCACTCTTGTTGTTGTTGTTGTTATTATTGAGTAGCAACTCATTGAATGGATTAAATGCTTTAGCTAATGCTGTTGTTGTTGTTGCTGTTGCTGCTGTTGCTGTTTTAGTATTAATTATGGCCTTAGTCGTCGTTGTTGTTGTTGTGGGCGCTATCGCTGCGATAAATCTGGTCGATATATCCTCGGTGCTAGCAACTTGAACGATCGTTTGAAAAGTCGCCAGCACTGCGAGGAGTAGAAGCCATGCGCGCATGGTCGCTTGCAACTCTGAAACGATACAAAAACATAGGAAATTTCGTTTAGCATTTGTCGATAGGGTTAAAAACGACGCCGGCAGCGCAGCCGGCAGCGCCAGCCACTCGAACTCAACTCACTCAACTTGTGTAGCGCGTGCGCCCTGCGCCAGAGCGAGATGACTATACCATGCGCACCGCACACACACACACACTCGCATAATGCGTTTGCGGCTGCGCGCTCTGAGCGCAGCGTGGCGCCGCTTTGAGTGTGAGAGCGGGCATTGAGTGACTTTCGTTGTTGTTGCTGCTTGATGTATGTGTGTGAGTGTGTGTGCGTGATGGTCAGGTAGCAGCTTCCTTAAGCGCACTTTTATGACCAGCGAAAGGTGCGTGCATGCGTCCTGCCGGCAACAATGCGAACAAAGTGAGCTGTGGCTCATTGGCTGACGCACACACACACACACAGAGCGAGAGTGTGAGTAAATGAGAAAGAGAGCGAACCACTCAGTTTTGAGTGTTTTCTGTGTGGTGTTGCAATCGCGGCGGACATTGCACCTTTTCGGGCTGACACACGATCTCAGCTATGCAGCAGCGATTTGTGTCTACGCTTAGAAATTCAATACAAATCAAACATACATACACATACACGCACACACACACACACCTGTTCGAGAGTGGGGTGTTTGGCGTAGAAATTAGAGAAGCCAACGGGGCCGTCATAATTTTTCGTCATTTTTCAATATTTCATGTAAGACGAACTTATCGGCCCTTTTTTGATTTATACACAGGGCGGCATTTCAATCGAGTTCAATCGGATAATTTCCAACATTGTCACTATCTGAGTTCTTGGGGAAAATTTATGAAAATTATTTATTAAAAGTATTTTCTATATAGATTTCTAGTTTCTTCTTATGGGCTATAAATTTGTTCAGATTTCTATCTCAAAGATGAGTCCCGTAGCCTGCCTAGGCGCACCTTAAGCAGGTCTACGTGCCCCTCACACAGACACACTCACACACACACATATATGCGCACACGAACAACAAATTACATGTTGTTTTTCACATAAAGATTAAAATCTTATCTAAAACGAGGCGGCAAAGGAATTTTCAAAAAACAAAAAATATATATGTATATATCGTAGAAGAAGAAGAAGAACATTTCGATTCGAATTAGTTGGCACACGCTGGGGGGTGTCTTTTATTTTGTACCTCGTCGAAGATCTTCGATAAGAGAGAAAAGGGCGCCCGGGGCTGAATGAAAATTTTCATAATTATGCATTAGACGTTTGACTTATCGAAATGCATTATGAAATTTTCATAATTTGTTTTCTCTAGTCTCTCAGTTTTTAATATCTTCCCAGAACAACTGAGAAAAGGAGTGAGATGAGCTGGGCGAGAGGAGGAAGGGAGATGGAGGAGTCGGAGCAGCAGTCGCATACCTGCTGGCATTTCCGGGGGTTTTCCGCTATTGAGCGCAATGCTGGGCTGGGCTTTTCCCAGCTGTCATTCAAGAGCGCAAAAAGCGAAAATGAAATAACTCGGCTAAGCATTCGACTCAAATTTCATCAAGTTTATATAATTTTTTACCACTTTTTTTTTTAGTTTTCAATCATTTTTGCCAACTGACAAATTTTGTTTAATGTTTTCCGGTTGGGCAATAGATGATATGGTAGACCACATATAGTAGACCATAACTGTGTCACACTCACACACACTCAGCGAGTCAGCACAATATGCACTCAAAGATACAAAGATACAAAGATACATAGATACAAACAGAAACAGTTACAATGAGGCCAGAGCCAAATACAATTCATATTATGTCTTTGGGCCGATAATTTATGTGCCAAAGGACATTCGACGTGTCCTTTGTGGGCATTTGCCGACACGCACTCGGGACACTACGGCACTTTGTTGTCGGCCAATTTCCCAGAATCCCGTTTGGGCGTCTATTACGATTATGATATATTATGAGAGTCGCCAGCGTGAAAATATTTTGATCGAGCTGGCGATATGCCGAGGGAATTCCACTAAGTTGTAAAATTATTTGATATGAAAGGATGTTTGGAATCATAAAATATATGGGAATTCGTGTGGAAGCTGAGACATAGAATTCAGATATAGCTTTAAACACTTCTACATAAAAAGGAAATATACATATTTAAAAATATTTATAAACCTTCATGTGTCATGTTTGACTTTATATTACTTATATCAATTACATACAACTAAAAAAAAAAAAACTAGAATAAAAACACAAACGTTTTTGATAGTTGTCAATTTTTTTTTTTTTTTTTTTTTTTTTTTTGATAATTGCATTTACTTAGTAGAATGAGTTTAAAAAACTTTAGAGAACGTGCTTAATTGCGATAGCTTTTTCTAGCGCATATACATATCGTATGTATATGTATGTATGTATATGCACATATGAACTCTCTATAGTATCAGACTTGCAGCAGCGGTAAAACAAAGAAAATAGAAGTATTTATACGAATATATTTCTAAATATATAATTAATGTACCAGAACAAAATTTAATAAAAAACTATAATATACATATATATATATTGAAAAATTATTTTAGTTATTTATGAAAATAAGCAGCTAAATATTTTCTGTTTATCAATTAAAAATATTTTATGTAATAGTACTTTTGATAAATCTAGTCACTAGTTAATTTAATTATGAAGAATTAAGCTAAAAAAAATCAAAGAAGCAATCGGAATATCATAAAGTATTTATTATACTAACCAACTAACGAAATTGATTATAATGCTAGCTTAATAATTGTCCAGAACAGTTAGATACTGATCAATAGTATATATTTAAATCGTATATATCATCTTTATATGGTATGTGAACGGTATATATATTTGTAAAGCCTAATGAAGAAATTAAAGCTTAGAAATATAGACTTCGCTTTGTGATACAATGCATTCAATTAAAATATAATTAATAGTAAGAGTATCCCTGCTATATAGATATATATTTAATAGCATAAGTTTAAATATTGGTACATATATTGAGAGAGATTTATGGGTAAAATTCGAATTTGAATTTCTCATAAGAATCTCAAAAGAGCTAAATTTGATCTACTCTTGATAGACTCTACTAGTCAAAAACAAGCTATACATCAATCAATTCTATATATGCAATTTACTTGGTATTTTATTAATACTAACTCTTTCGTATGCCTGAGTGTAATGCCCTCAATAATCGAATACCTGTAAGAGTTATGTAAAACATTTGCCCTAACCAAAGTCAAATTCTTTTTCTTTGCTTTTTTTTTCTTATTTTCCAATATCAAATGCAGCTCGAACCGAATATTTTGGTATCATATGAAATTGTAGCACAACGATTGTGCATATTGGCACAGGGGATCAATGTGAGAGAGAGAGGGTATATACATGTGTGTGTGTGAGTGTGTGTGCAGTTCTCACAGTTAGCAAAGTTAAGTGAAGTTTGACCTAAGCTTAACGGCAAATAGCGTCGGGGCAGACACAGAGCGAGGGCGTGTGTGCGAGTGAGATGGAGAGATGGCGAGAGGGAGTGAGAGCGCGCACTAGCTGCACTGAGCTGCGTGTGTGAACCAAATGTCAAACTCACCTCAGTCTTATAAAGTTTCCTATGTTTTCGGATAAGTCGAAATCTAGCTTGAAGTGTGTTTCCCTTTCTCGATAGTTAATCGATGTGCATTCATATAAACATATATATATATATGGTGTTATATATGTTTATTTATTTAGTTTTTCTTTGATTTCTTGAGCTCTGCATTAATTTAAGTAAGCCGCGTATTTTGATGGATTGCCTCGGCACTCAATCCCCCTGCGAGTCAGTTCCGCTTTTGACACTTGATAGATTTATGAGAACGCGTCTTATCGCAGCTGCAATTGTTGCTGTTGCTGTTGCTGTTGTTGTAGTTGCTTTGGTTTCTCTCTTTTATGGATATTTGCACAATTTACAGCTGTTTTATTTGCTGCTTCTTCCACTTTGGCTACCGTTGCAGCAGTCGAAGGTAATCAACACAATTTTTATGTATAAATCACGCTTGCGTCAATATTTGATAGATCTTTGATAAATATACATGTGTGATACATATAGGTATGTATGTATGTGTGTATGTATGTTTGTTTGTCTCTTTGAAAATCTCAGTCTGTGCTGTCTGCTTTTCGCTTGCGATAATTGTAGATGAAATAGATGAAATTCTTGTTGAAAATTTTATTGCCGCATTCGAGGCGCAGGCGCAGCCGCTGTATCCACTGATTGTGTGTGTTTATTGTTGTTGTTGTTGTTGTCGTTGTCGTTGTTGTTGCCAGAGCACATGACACTGCAGCTAAGTATCTATAAGATACTTTAAGCATTGGCACTTTCTTGTTGTTGTGTTTGCTTTTGTAATTGTTTCAAACTTTTTTACATTCAATTTGCGCGTTGGCTTTACAGCGCATTGCTGTTGTTGTTGTTGTTGTTGCAGTTTCTGCTGACGGCACAGTTAAGCACATATTTCAAAAATAGTATAATACAAAATTATAACAAACAAACAATTACGCAAAGTGAGAAACGAAAACTTTGCTGTGGCACTTCACATTTGAGATACTTTAGCTTTATCTTTATATATAGCTATATCTTTATCTGCAGCTGTATCTTTTGTTTTGATGCTTTGGACATTCCGACACACACACAAACACACACTCTGGCACACACACCCACTCGCACACACGCACGGCAAATTGTAATTTTCTTTTGTTTGATCAAATTTTTACGCCAATTTCTTGTTCACAGTTTTTTTGCTGCTTCATTTTCTTCGGCTTTTGGCGTCGGGACCAAAGTATCAATATTGTTTTCGACTCGATCAGCGCTGTGGAACGACTAACGCCTCACTGTCTGGCTCTACCTGATTCGAGTTACAGGTAAGACGCGCACACGAGCGCCGAGCCGAATGCATTCTTCGGCTCTCAGTCGACTCGCTTCGCTTCGCCTCGTCTCGTCGCGCTGAGTGAAAACGAGCGCGCCGCGCGCTCACTCATGCTCTCACTCATGCTCACACTCACAAACACGGTCGCACGCGCAGCAGTTCGCTCGCTCTCTGTGCTACTCTCTTTCGGCTGTGCGCTTTTTGGCTCTCTGCAAGTTTTACTGTTGCTGTTGCCAATGATCATTATTTGATCGCGCATCCATCTCGCCTGAAGTTCCCTTTGCCACTGGCAGCCAGCGCGTCGTCAGTTTTTGCTTTCGTGCGCCGAACGAGTTCTTTTCTTTTCATTCTTTTTTTTTTTTTTTGTCAATTGAGTTGAAAACTAAGCAGAGAGCTTCTCACTCACACTCACGTTCACACTCTCACGCACTCGCATTCGCGCACTCTCACAATAATTGAGTCAATTGCGGGCTCAGCTCTTTGAGCTTGAGTCTGAGCTTTTTTCGAAGGGTGACTTATAAGAAAATGGACACCTCAAGAATTTCTGCGATGTTTTGAGAAACTTAAGCTAAGGATTTCAACTATGCGGAAACAGAATAAAATAAATATTTACCTAAAAGCTTGTATTGAAGATAATAAAATATATATAAAGTTTAAATTTAAATAAAATATTCTTCTTTAGTTGAGTGCGTTTAAAATGAATTCTGTTTATAGCTTAAACCATAAATAATTCATTAAAACTATTTAGCTATATAAACAATAAGAGCAATAAAGTTTTTTTTTAATGCTTCACAGCTTGATATAAATTTAATTAAATATTTAATGATTATATAATATTCCAAATTACTGCGAAATATTTAGTATATATTATATAATATAGTTATTTAGTATGTATTTATTTTTATATTATTTCTCATAATTTAGTTGGTTTATCTTTGTATATTTATAGTTTCTTTTTATTTATTTATTTTTTATTTATAATTGTATTATGTTTAAAAAAAAAATTGAAATATTTATTTTATATATTTCCAAAATGTGGCAAAAAATCGACAAAGCATAAAATTGTTTATATATTTATATTTATTTATTTTATTTTTTCGAAATCTTTTTATTATTATTCTAAAATTTAAAAATAAGTTTTTTTTTTTTACTTTACATTTCAGAAAAATTTATTAAAAATATTTTTTAGTGCAATAAAGGAATAAAAATTACGAAAATATTTTAGATTCGATTTTCATTTATTTATTTTTTTTATATTATTATATTATTTATTTATTATTTTCTATTTGAATCTGAATTTTGCTTTTTTTATTTATTTATTTTTTTAATTTTTTATTTGAATTATTGAAGTTTATATTTATTTTATGATTTATTTCTATTTTACTTTGAAGCGTTTGTTTTATTTTCTACTTACTTTGCCGGTCAATTTGAAGCTTTAACAATAAACAAAGCGTATCGCAAGCCAATGCCGTGTTGCACAGGTGAACATCGAACAAGGTAATAAGCGAAAGAACAAAAAAATTAATCGAAATGAAATGAAATTGGAAATACTCTTCGCTCGGGGAGTTGCACGCGCGCAATGAGCCGAGTATAAAACCAAACTGTCTCGCAATGCGAGGCGCACAGAATTCCTGGGGCCAGGGCCAGCCAGGGAGGGCCCATGCCAGATCGTGATCGTTGCCGATACGACACGGCACCAGGTGCGAGCGAGAGGCCATGAACACTTTTTAGTGCACACACACACACACATGCAGAGAGAGACACTTGAGTGTGTGTGCGTGTGTGTGTGCTTAGGTAACGAAATCCTTAACAACAAACACAAAATGAAATCAAAAAGTCAAGAATTAGTATAATTTTATTGGTTGGCAAGAGGTAAAAGCAGCAGGGCCGAAATGGAATGACACTGGCCATCTCGCTCCCACTCACACAGCTGAATGGAACTAGCTACCAATACAAATGCAAACAGTTAAATGCATTTCAACTGCCTTTTGCCCTTCCCTTCTGCCTCTGCCTCCGCCTCTGCCTCCGGCTTTGGCTTTGCCTTTCGCCCGCTGTTTGTGGAGATGACTTGACACACCCGCGACTCGAGGCAGCCAAAGTGACTGCCACAAAAGGTTGCAGCAGACCTCGTTTGCCATCGTCGTCGTTGTTGTTGTTGTTATTGTTGTTGTTGTTGGCCAGCAGGTGCTGCAAGCCAGCCAAAACGACGCTGGCCAACTTGGCCCTGGGTAGGTGGAGCCGCCTCTGCCTGTGCCTCTGCCTGTGCCTGTGCCTTTGCCTTTGCCTTGAACTGAGCGGTCGACTACTTTTTGTCTTGGCTGCTTTTTCTCTCTTTTGGCCACAGCAAATGCGGTTTCTTAATGGATTTCAGAGTTGGAAAACGGACAACTAATAAATATTTACTATTTGCTGTGCATGTAATCCTACAAGCTCTTCATGTATTTATGTTGCTTTTTGTATCCCATTATCTTTGACGTATCTAAATTGTTGTTGTTGAGTAATGAAGTCAAGGAGGGGACTGAGTGGTTGATTAGCAATGATAATTGAACATAATTGATATTGTCATTATTATTATCATTATCACAATCATAGATATTGCCATTGTCATTGGCATTGGCATTGTCATTGTCATTGTCATTGTCATTGTCATTGTCATTGTCATTGTCATTGTCATTGTCATTGTCATTGTCATTGTCATTGTCATTGTCATTGTCATTGTCATTGTCATTGTCATTGTCATTGTCATTGTCATTGTCATTGTCATTGTCATTGTCATTGTCATTGTCATTGTCATTGTCATTGTCATTGTCATTGTCATTGTCATTGTCATTGTCATTGGCATTGGCATTGTCATTGTCATTGTCATTGTCATTGTCATTGTCATTGTCATTGTCATTGTCATTGTCATTGTCATTGTCATTGGCATTGGCATTGTCATTGTCATTGTCATTGTCATTGTCATTGTCATTGTCGTTGTCATTGTCATTGTCATTGTCATTGTCATTGTCATTGTCATTGTCATTGTCATTGTCGTTGTCATTGTCATTGTCATTGTCATTGTCATTGTCATTGTCATTGTCATTGTCATTGTCATTGTCATTGTCATTGTCATTGTCATTGTCATTGTCATTGTCATTGTCATTGTCATTGTCATTGTCATTGTCATTGTCATTGTCATTGTCATTATCATTGTCATTGTCATTGTCATTGTCATTATCATTGTCATTGTCATTGTCATTGTCATTATCATTGTCATTGTCATTATCATTGTCATTGTCATTGTCATTGTCATTATCATTGTCATTGTCATTGTCATTGTCATTGTCATTATCATTGTCATTGGCATTGGCAACTAGGTTCATGCAATCCTAGGAGCGTTATCTATTTAGAATTTATGAAGCTAGCCTCCCTAAATTGTAGCTATATCTAGCGCAGTAACATTGATCAGCTTAAGTGCATTACTTACACACACAGGCAGTTTTTTCTCTGTGTGTGTGAGGCACTCGCATTGTGTCTTGTAAATCTTTTTCAGCCTCGTGTCTTGTTTTATATCTTTTGTTGCATCTTTTTCCTGTACATATGCTGCAACTGCAAAGCTGACTACGTGTCCAGGGTCCAGTGTCCAGTGTCCAGTGTCCATTGGCGTCGCTAATGATCGCGACGTCTGGCAACTTAAGCGTTGCCAGACATTCTGGCTTTGCTGCTGCTGCTGCTGGTGTTGCTTCGAGGCTCTCTCGGGGCGACTGGCGCCAAAGGCTGCTTAAGTAGCTGCTGGGCATTGTTCGCGCTATTGTCCTGGCTGCACTTGACGTTGTCTGTGGTCAGCCGGGCGAGCATCAAATTTCCGCAGACAGATCTATGACCAAGCCGGAAGAGATGACAATGCAGCTCTCACAAATCGAGACGAAAGGCAAAGGCAAGAAAAATAACGAGAGAAAGACAACAAAAAAGAAAAAAGCCGACGCTGGCTGTGTTGAAATGTCGACGCGTTGGCTGCAGCGCGTTGGCTGAGTGGTGCCAGTGGTGCTGGTGGTGTTGGTGGTGCTGATGGTGCCGGCAGCGCTGCCGGTGCTGGTGTGATTCATGCCGATTGGCGGATGAGCCAGCAAGTAGAAGCACGCGCAGAAGGCGGCTCCAAAAACACGCGAGATCCTTTTGTATGTTAATCGCAGCCAACACGTAGACGCCCTTGCCACAGCTGCGTGAGTGTGTGTGTGCGTCTGTGTGTGTGTGAGAGTGAGTGTGTGTGCGTTTCGCTGCTCCTCCTCGTTTTTTGTGTTGCTGCTTCGTTTCAACTTGTTATGCCTCTCTCTGTGCCAGTCCACTCTCACTGCATTCGACAGATAAACAGATACTTTGCCTGTCGATCTTCCTTCTGCTGACTTCGTTCTTCTGTCTCGCATTGTCGGCGCTCAACTTTTAATGGCATTTAATTACCTTTTGCCTGGTGTATGTTCTTTGATACCCTGTAAACGTTTCTAAAGAGCGGGCTTGATTTACAGGTCGTGAATCGATTTTAATCAACTTCCAAATGTTTTTTGCTTTCACATATTTCCTAAACTAAATTAATTTGTATTTCAGTTGATCGATATATCGGTATTGTTTCATTTAATTTGTAGCATATCATATCCATATCATATATATCCATATCCATACCATTTTCTTTAAATTATCGATTTATTTCAGCTACTCATGTAAATCGATATTACATTAACTTCCATAGATATCTAGTTTTTGCTATCAACTTTAGTAAGCATAAGTTATCGATAGCGCAGACCTCTAACGCACATCAACTTGAGCAATAATCGATAGCTATCGATATTTAGCAGTTACTTTTATGTGATATAGCTGTCTGATCAAGTCTTAACAGGGTATCTTTCGCTACATCAGTCTCTTCCGCTGCACACTTAACTCGCTTTATTTTTTGCCTATCTCACGCCCTTACGTGGTATTGGACCACCTGAAACTGAGGTCCAGTCACAAC